GACCCTCCGCGCGGGCCGGGTTGGCCATGTGGTTTGCGCCAGCTCTTCGCCTCAGGAGCCGACGTCCCGGCGCCACTGTTGCCCCGCCCTCGCCGACCCCTCCCCCTCCCGTCGGAGCCCGTGCTTTGCGGCTCCTCAGAGGACTGGAAGACGCCAGAACACGTCCTGTCCTCAAGGCTGCGGGTTCACTCAGCCGAGTCGGTGCAGCCGAACGAGTTTGTTGCGTGATTTTCTTCCACTTCCCCAGTTGACGTTATTTGTCCAAGTGTTTGCCTGCCCTCATATTTCTTGCGGGACCAGTTTATTTTCACATATTGGTGAGCCGGGTCGCTTGTATTCAGTAGGGCTACTGAAATATCTTGTCAAGTCCAGGTATAAGTGAAAGGATTATTTTGGGAAACTAACTAAATTCGGCCCCAGTTAGAATATTTGACAGCCCGTGCTGGGATCTGAACACTGACTTTAGGGTTTGGTGTTGTATGGTTGTTTTCTCAGTACCCTGATTTAAAAGGCCACTTTTTTTCCTCCCGTTTTAGATAGTCAAGAGCCTTGGTTACAGCCGAGTTGTCCTACAGATTGGTAGAGGAACCGTGGTACCTGAACCATTCAGTACTGAATCATTTACTCTGGATGTTTACAGGTACAAGAATTCGTTAAAAGAAGACCTTCAACAAGCAGATCTTGTTATTAGTCACGCAGGTAAAGTGCCTTGGAATCTGTGTTGATTTTTTTTATAAGCAATAAATATTTGAACCTTCTTGAGTTAAAAATTACTACAGTAACTCATTGTAACTGTTGTGAATCTAATGATTATTTAAATGTAACAACTGGGAACTTTACTGGAAAGAATTATTTCTGAGTGAGACGGTGAATAAGAATCTTCTCAACGCAACTATTTTTTGTTTTTGGTGGGGGTTGATTTTGGTAACCTAACTTTACAGTCAGAAACCCTAAGTATCGAGGCAAAATGATTTACCAAGACATGTAATGAGGTATCAGAGTTGAGATTTGTATTTGGGCTTTTATTTGTTGGGAGCCTACTGGAGAAGTGTTCAGTCTGCAGATGTGTTGGGTTGATCTGAGAAATTGGTTTTATAGATTTTACATTTCTACTGTGAGTGGAATAAGTGCAGTCAAAAATATTCTTAATAGCCATCATTCTCTATGCTTTGGAAAACGATCTTGATTATCTAGTAATCAGACTTCCAGTGCCTTAAGAACTGCTTTTGGGTGGGGGTAACCAGAAGGCTGGAGGTTCAAATCCACCAAATCCTCGGAAGGAAAGTTGGGCAATCTACTTTCGTAGTGATACCGCCTTGGAAACCCAAGGAGGGGTCGCTATGAGTTGGATTCCACTCCACGGCAGTGAGTTTGGTTTTCAGTTTTTATTGTAATTTTGATTGCTGGATAAACGAGTCAGGAGTTTTTTTGTTCTTAATAAGTCTAAATAAGTTTTAGGAGAGGCAAATCATTAGAAATGGACATTACAGATTGATGATTTAAAATGTGTAGGATAATAGTTAACAGCTTTTGGCACTGTTCTCTGTGCTTTATACATTAATTCCTTTAATCCTCCCAAACAGTCTATGAATTTAAGTGCCATTAGTGTTCCTTTTTCAGATGAAGAAACTGAGACAGAGAGGTTAAGTAACTTGCCTGACCAAAAAGTGGTGGACAGATTTTTAATTAAGTCTTGTGTTGGAGTTTGTGTTTTTAGTTACTTAACCCCGTATAGTGTCTAAAATAGTCTATCAAAAAAGGATTTATCTACTTACTTAACAGTGTCCCGTCTCCCATTTAAAATATCTAAAGGATTTTAGATTTCAAAGTTGAATTGATCCTAATATTGTCTATGTGCATATTCATGGAGATCTGTTCGCCACTATTTTGGGATGCTCATTAACAAACTCATAAGGAATAGTCAGAGTTTTTTTATTGGTGTGGGTGGCACAGATGGTTACTGTTACAGATCTCTGCTAACTTAAAGGTTGGCAGTTAGAACCTACTGAGTGGCACGTAGTGTAAAGCAATCTCTTTCTGAAAAGATTAACCCGAACCCACTGCCATCTAGTAGAGTCAGACTCATAGCAACCCTTTAGGACAGAATCCTAAACTGCTCCACAGGGTTTCTAAGGTTGTAAATCTTCACTAAAATGGATTGCCTCATCTTTCTTCCATGGAGCAGCTGGTAGGTTCAAACTGCTGACCTTTTGGTTAGCAGCCAAATGCTTTAACTGCTATGCCACTGGAGCTCCTTTGTAAAGATTAGAGCCAAGAAAACCCTGTGGAGTTCTACTCAGCAGGTAGAGTCACCATGAGTCAGAATCCCTTCTAAGACAAGAGGTCCCCCCCCCACTACTGAAGGCTCTATTTTTCTACTTGTCTATGAAAGGTAGTGGAGCACTCTAGTGGCACTGTGGTTAAGATATCCATGGGCTGCTATCAGAAGGCTGGCAGTTCAAATCCACCAGCTGCTCCATGGAAAAAAGATGAGCCAGTCTGCTTCCATAGAGGTTTACAGCCTTGGAACCCCTGTGGGAGTCAGTATGAGTCAGAATTGACTCGGTAGCAGTGGGTTTGCTTTTTGGTCTGAATAAGGAGCTCTGGTGGCATAGTGGGTAAGACATTAGGGAGTTAACCAGAAAGTTAATGGTTCAAAACCTCCAGCTGCTCCATGGGAAGAAGATGAGGCAATCTCATTCGGTGAAGATTCACAATGTTGGAAACCCAGTGGGGTTCACTGTGAGTTGCATGGCAGTGGGTTGGGAAGCTTCATTTACAATATGCTGAACCTGAATCTTAGCTGGATTCAACACCATGGCCAGAGCATATGAGTAGAGGGCAAGTAGCAAAGCACTGAGTATTAGGCCATAATATTGTTACAGGTGATAAAGTAATGTGTTTTTCTAGCCGGTTTGTTAACACTTTTTTTTTTTTATTAAAATTGTGACTTGGGTGAAAGTTTACAGAGCAAATTCATCTTCCATACAGCAGTTCACATATACTTTGTTTCATGACATTGACTGTAATCTCCCACAGTGTAACAATTCTTCCCACTTCCTCCCCATAGCCACCTCTTCTCTGTGTCCTTCCCTCCCATGCATTCCTGCCTCCTGAGCTGTCCCCTGTGCATACACAGCCCTTCTATTCTCCCATGACTGATCTCTCCAAGGAGTATATCTACTTAATGTAAATGTGCAGCTCATATGCCTGTCTTTTTTTTTGGCTGGAAGCCACAGGAGTGGGTTCAATTCCAGACCTGAAGGGCAGTTTGGGGCCATAGTGTCAGGGGTTCCACCAGGCTCTATCAGACCAGCAAAGCTACCCCCCCTTTTTTTAAGATGATTTTGAGTCTGGTGGTGTAGTGCCTAAGGCATTTGACTGCTAACTAGCCACTCCTCAGAAGGAAGATTGGACAATCTACTTCTGTAGAGATACCACTGCAGAAACCCAAAGAGGGATTGCTATGAATCGAATTGACTCAGAGGCAGTAAGTTTGTTTGTTTTTTGCTTTATAGTTTGCCAACTAACTTTTGAGTTCTAGCTTTAAAGAATGGTGGAGCACTTTAACTTTTTAAAAACTATATTAATAAATTTTGGTTTATTTTTGTAGGTGCAGGAAGCTGTTTGGAGACTCTAGAAAAAGGAAAGCCACTTGTGGTGGTTATAAATGAAAAATTGATGAACAATCATCAGTTGGAATTGGCAAAGCAGCTACACAAGGAGGGGCATCTCTTCTACTGTACCTGCAGGTATACTACAGATTGATTATTTGACTGACCTTTTCTTATTTCTTCCCTAGCCATTTTTCTTACCTACTTACCTAACCTCTCTCTTCTGCTTCTTACTTTCTCCCACCTATGAGGCATACTTTGATTTTTTTCACCTATAAAACCTTCTCATTTATTTTCCACTTTGGTTGTGGTTTGTGTGCTGTACTACTTTATGTATCTGTGGTTATTTCTTTATACATGATCTAAATGTGTGTGTGTGTGTGTGTGCGCGCACGTACATACATATATGTGCATAAGTCCTCAGGAATATTTTTTAGTTCATTAGACTTTAATTATTCAAGGAAGGCATTTGCTTATTTTTAATGACAATTTTGCCTTCTATAAATCACTGGAATCCCTAAATTACATTTTCTCATGTATTTATTCAGCTATACGTAATATGGGCCAGGTACCGTTTTAGGTGCTGAGGATACAGTGGTAAACAAAACATAAGGTCCTTCCTGTCAATCTAGTAAGGAGCTGTAGTTAAAACATTAGGCTGCTGACCAAAAGGTTGGCAGTTTGAACCCACTGTCCACTCGCAGGGGAAAGATGAAGCAATTTGCTTGTGAAAAGATGTACAGCCTTGGAAAGTCTAAGGGCCGTTCTACCCTGTCCTAAAAGGTCGCTTGAGTCAAAATCAGCTTGATAGAATTGGGGTTTGGTTTTGGTTCTCATTCTAGTGATAGGAGATGGACACTGAACAAATTCACAAGTAAATGATCAAGGTGATTTCCTATGGTGAACTGTGCTATGAAGACAGTAAGACAAGGTGATAATGATAGCTGGAGTGAAGAATAAGTAGATAAGATGAGCAGGGAAGGGAGACGGGGCAGATAACATTTGAACTGAGACTTAAATGACAAGGAGGAGCCAGTCCTGTGAAGCTCTAGAGGGAAAGGAAACAGCAGCTAGCTACAAAGGCCCAAAATTAGGAATAAGGAGCTATGGTGGCATAGTGGTTAAAAAATTCGTCTGCTAACCAAAGGGTTGGCAGTTTGAACCCACCAGCTACTCTGCAGGAGAAAGATGAGGCAGTCTGCTTCCATAAAGATTTACAGCCTTGGAAAACCCTATGGGGGCAGTTCTACTCTGTCCTAAAGGCTCCCTATGAGTCAGAATTGATTCATGGCAGTGTGTAAGTTAGGAATGGGTTTGGAGTTATATTTGTTTGAAGATGAGAGGGAAGGTTGAAGTGGTAGGTGCATAGTGATCAAGAGAGGTTAGTACAAGATGAGGCTGGATGGGGATCGCTTATGTAAGAGTTTTGATTTGATTTTGTGTTCAGTGAGAAGCCATGGGAGTATTTTAAGCAGAGAAATTACTTTCTGATAAGCAGTATTATTTTCTAGAAGTATATTAAAATTCAACAAGAAGTGATCAACATTACAGTAGAAGGATGAAGAAAATTGCTGGTTTGTTTGCCATTAGTCCTTTAAAACATTAGATGTTGCAAAATGGCCAGGTCAGTAATACCCAATTGTTTAAAATCTATCATAATTTGATGTTTTAAAAAATAAATACCTTATGGAAATACTGTAAAAAGTATATTTTATGTTACAGTAAATTGAAATTAATACTAAAATAGAAAATAAAACCTAGAAGAAACTGGCTAAAATGTAATAAGCTTTTCTTTTATTATTTCTGTCTCAGGCACTCAGTAAATTATTTATTAAGTAAGTAATATATTATGACTTTACTATGTGCCAGGCAACAATAAGCTCTGGTGCCATAATGGATAAGGCATTTGGCTACTAACCAGAAGGTCAGCAGTTCAAACCCACCAGCCACTCTGCGGAAGGAAGGAAGATGGGGCAGCCTACTTCCGTGGTGATACTGCCTCAGAAACCCAAGGTGGGGGGTCGCTATGAGTGGGGGCCAACTCGAGGGCACATAACAACAACAACATGTGCCAGGCACTGTAGCAGTGAATAAAACAAAGATCCCTGTTCTCATTGAGGGGAGACCGATTCCTTGATTGTTTCAGGAGCAATTGTTGGTCCTCATTCTTGTAGTGATGGAGGAGAAGGAATGTCAGGGTGGCTTTGTAATAATAGAAGCCAGTCTTTTGAAGTATTGTGAGTCAGGAGGCAGTAGATAATCAAAATTATTTAGGCTTCCAATACTTGTCCTAGCTGCCTGTGGGTAATTGAGATTGTTAGGGGTTAAAATAATTTTTTAAGAGGAATAACCTCTGGTCTTCCTAACTGGTTTATGCAAATCAGTTTTTCCAGAGACTTGATGAGTACTTTCGTTTTAAATATTAAATCGGCTTTGATTTTATGTCAGCACATAGAAAGGAATAACGGTGATTTCATAAACATAACATGACATTTTAACTTAGGTTGAAAAAGAAGCTGTTCACTTTTTTACAATTTAAAAGTCTTACATTAATTTCGAGAAAGGCACATACATGAAAGCAGTAAGAATCAATAATTGGTTATATTTTCATTTTAATAAATCATTTATTTCCCTAAAATCTAAGCTGTGTGGTTGGTTGTATGTCTTTACTAATTTAAGTGACTAGTTTAATTAAATTTATGAAGTAGTACTTTTATATTGTAGTTTAGAACCTTTCTGAGATAAATGGTGATTATATATTGATTAATTACATATAGATTTTGACAGTAAATTAGCAGAAAATGTTATGTCACAATCATAATCTTCATATCTGACCTAGTAGTCTCCCCACCTTATTTTTCTTACCTGGTAGCCTGATGTCATTTATTCCTTTTTCATAAATTAATTTTGCTTTAATTTATATGTTCCCAGTTCCTGAGTAGAAGTATAAAGCCATGTGAACACATCTTTCATGAAATAATACTTGTGAAGTATTTCAATCGATAGAAGTATCTATTGAATGAATACTGGTATTATGACTACTCTTTGCTTTGCTTTAGTAATCTTTTCAAGTGTGTATATCTGTATCAAAGTACATTTAAAAATTCACATGTATAGTTTGGAAAGCAACACTATATTCTTAGAAGTTAGATTCAGTCCTCAATTGGGCAGCAGATGAATTACAGAATTTTTTCCCATGTTACCTAATATTTTTCTTCTTTTGTTTTAGCATGCTTCCTGGGCTGTTACAGTCAATGGACTTATCAACACTGAAATGTTTTCCTCCTGGCCAGCCAGAAAATTTTTCTGCATTTTTGGATAAAGTTGTTGGATTACAAAAATAAACACTAAACTCTCAACATTTTTAAAACACCCCCAAATCCAACCTATGGGATGTGATTAAATCAAATTAAGTATATAATATACATTTGCAAAATAATATAAATTAATAAACTCCTCCATCTATAGAATGTACAGAAAATTTTATGGTGTGACTATTTGCATTTGGGTCCAAATCCTAACTTGCAGTTTAGTAAACTTGCTAGATTTCATTTAGCTTCATATTTCAGTAAACCAGATATAGAGTAGGTGACTAGTTTAATTAAATTTACATATTTTATCCTAGAATCCCAGATACATTTGGAATCACGAAAAAATGAGATTTGAAAACTTCTTAAGATGAAGTGATTTGGCAAGAACTAGAAATGTAGTCAGTTTGATGTTTGTTAGAATAAAAAGTGAAACAGTAACTTTTAAAAATTTTTGTATGTGAGTTAGCATCTTTAGCTTCATAATCTAAGGAACCAAATTAAGAAAAAAAATGATAGACTGTGCTCTGAGAAATAAAAGGCTCAATAATTGCCTAAAAAAGATTAACTCTGGAGGCAGATTTTCTGTTGGAGAAGCCACTTTCATCCTGAAGGATAGAGTGGAGTGGGTGTGTGCACTTTTTTCTCTGAAATGTAAAGTAGCAAAATATTCCCCAGTGTTGGAGCTTTAGTGATTGAGAAGAAGAAATCAAAAGGACTTTTGCCAGTAGGATTACTGTTACTTTTTAGGACCACCCCCCATATAGGTATTGTATTGCTATATTACTGTAACAATTATTTATAATGAATGTGCTTAAATTCGTTTTACATATAAGTAAGAAATGATTTGATACGGTTAATGTCTTAAATAGTCATTTTGAAATTCTCAGGATAACTCAAAATAGATACATTATGGAATTCATCCTAATTAAGTAGTCTTGAGACCTTTGAAAATACCTGAGTTTACCCCTAAATGTCCATAGTTTTCTGGTTGTTGTTGTTGTTATGTGCCGTCGAGTCGACCCCAACTCATAGCGACCCCTCCTTGGGTTTCTGAGGCAGTATCACTACGGAAGTAGGATTGCCCAACCTTCCTTCCGAGGAGTGGCTGGAGTTTTCTGGTAGAAAGTTTAATTTATCTATAAAAATAGAACATTCATTAGGAAGATCTACCTTCCATTAAAATTCTATCCCAGTATGTTGAATGTTCTAAACATTTTCCTTGGGATGCATTATATAGTGTTTGTAGATTTATTTCCCTGATTGTGTTTTACTTAGGGTAATATTAAGATACAGTCTTACTAATAATAGAAGGTGGTGGCTGAGGAGTGCTCTGGGTAGCAGAAGGAATCCAACTTGGATAAAATTTTTGCTGAGAATAATCTAAAAAGTGAGTAATTTATATATAGTTGAGAATTCACAGTGTCATAATTGCATATTAACCTAGATTTCATCATGTCATCTGGTGGAGGGTTGAACTAATGTTAATTGTGTGTAGTAACATCTCTGACTACACTTTTGTGAAACTGTATATGACTGGTGGGGTTCTAAATCAAAGAATACTTTAGAATCATAGAATCATTTTGAGTTGAGGAGGATCCTCAAGATTATATAGTCCAATTTCATTGTTTTCTGGATGAGGAAAAAGGACAGAAGTTAGGACTTGCCCAAAATAATAGCTATTGGCAGAGTTCCCAATAGAAACAACTATTTTACTCTCAGTCCTGTGCTCTTTACCATACCAAAATATATGTTGTGAACTTTTTGATTCTTTATAATTATTTGCCTAATATTTATTTTACTTAAATCCCTTCCAAGGACAGTTTTGTTTATTTTCAGAATTTGTTTAATTCATTTCACTTACTATGTTTTCCTTTCAAACCTAGAAACCCATGATTCCACTGCAAAATGCTATGGATGGGATTGGTAGTTAGATTGAATGAAAACGTTAAGACAAAGAATTGTACAATTTTAGAGTTGGGAGAGACCTTAAATACCTACCCTAATCACTCATTTTATAGGTGATGAAACAAGCCAAGTTCACATCTTATTTTGTCCTTATGAAAAAAAAGTTGCTCAATAAAGTTAAATTTGTTTGGTGTCATTATATCACTGATAACCGCTTCAGGTTCTTAAAATCAATAAGTGGAATGCAATTTATTTAGCAGTTTTCTATTAGAGGGCAAGGAAGCAAAAGAGGTTTATTATTTGGGGAAATTCACAAATGATAGGTTCAGGAATGGACAGATAATAAGGTAATAATGAAAAGTTATGTCTAGGATGACCTTGGGAGGTGAGCATTTTAGATGAAGTATGTTTACCATTTGAGAGGGAAGATAAGAGATAGAAGGTTTTGATGGTAAAATAGTGTAACCAGTGAACATGACATGGGGCTTGGGGACATTTGAAAATAGTCATCTCTAAAAGTATTAGCAAGTATGATTTGTACATACCTTAGAACACTAATTAGTATACTTTTAAAAGCAAATCATTCACAGGACAACAAAAAACTGTTCTATATTACTTCTTTGATTAGGAAATGTTCTGCAAGGCTAAAAATCATGAGTGACTAGAAGTAAGGTGTTCCCCCCCATGGCCCTTTGTTATGCTATGGAAGAATGATGACTGTCTATGGGGCAGTTCTACTCTGTCCTGTAGGGTCGCTGTGAGTCAGAATCAACTTGATAGCAATGGGTTTGGTTGGGGTTAATTATGGTATGAGTACCTAAGTGATCCCTCTGATTCATAATACAAGAGTTTCAGAGATGATAAAAAAAATCTACATACTGACTGGACAAATTACTAGAAGTCAGTTTTTGGAAGAGATTAGAATGGGTGGTCATGATTGCCATGTGGTGATAAATTTTCTGCTCTTCAACTGGTACCATTATTTTCACAGGTACAGAGTAAAAAATGACTTGTTTCAGTTAACAAATGTTGAGTGTTTTGTATGTGTCAGGTATTTGTCAAAGCATTTTACATTTTGCAGGTAATTTAATCTCTGTGAAATAGTTATAATTGTCCCATTTTGCAAATGAGGAAAGTTAGTTTAGGACATAATCTAAAAGAGTTTTATGCCACTTAAGTATATAAGAGATGGTCTGGTAGTTGTAATTGGAACACTGAAATCTAGGATATTTTAATTGTTTGTGAGACAGTATTTGAAATAGGACTATCCCAAGAAATTTTGATTGTATGACAGCTACAGGTATATAACTTATTTTTAGCTTTTACATTGGTGTTAAAAGCATACTGATTGCTACTCATAGAATCTGTGTGGAGCAACCCAAAGTTGCAAGTTACTTGCTGGCTCTTTTGTTTTCTCCTTAAATATTTATGTTCTAGAGTTCTATTTTTGATCCTTTTTATATACATCTTGGTATGATAATCACTTCCAGAGCTGTTACTACTGCTGACTCCCCTATCTTTATCTCTTAACTCTGATTTGAGCTGACTGGTATTTTAGTTGCGTGTTGTCCATGTCGAGGAGCTCTGGTTCTGGTAGCACAGTACCTAAGGCATCTGACTGCTAACCAGAAGGTTGGCGGTTCAAACCCACCCGACACTCCGCAAAAGCAAGACTGGGCAGTGAGGGTCACTATGAGTTGGAATAAATTTGTGGCAGTGGGTTTGGTTTTGGTTTTCATTGGTCATGTCTGTCTGTTTATTCTGTTGTTAGGTACCATTAAGTTCACGCTGACTCATAGCAACCCTATGTACAATAGTCCTATGCTGGCCTCACAATACTTGATATACCTCAGCCCATCGTTGCACCCACTGTCAGTCCATCTTGTTGAGGGCCTTCCCCTTTTTCCTTGACCCTTCACTTTACCAAGCACGATGGCCTTCTGACCACATGACCAAAGTAGGTGAGATGAAGTCTGGCCATTCTCTCTTCCAAGGAGCATATACTGTCTTCCATACTCATTGTCCAGCTTTGACTTGCATATGAGGGAATTGAAAATATCTTGGCTTGAGTCAGTCGCAGCTTAGTCTTCAAAGAGACATCTTTGCTCTTCAGCACTTGAAAGAGGTCTTTGGCAGCAGATTTGCCCACTGCAATACGTGTTCTGATGTCTTGACTGGTGCTTCCACTGGTATTGATTGTGGAACCATGTAATAGGAAATCTTTGATAACATCAAACTTTTCTCCATTTATCATCATGCTCCTTATTGTTGGTCTCTATGTGAGGATTTTTGTTTTCTTTATGTTGAGATGTAATACTGCAGAAGGTAGTCTTTAATCTTCATCAGTAAGTGCTTCAAGTTATCTGCACCTTTAGCAAGTGAGGTTGTGTATGTGCATATCACAAGTTGTTAATAAGTCTTCCTCTAATCCTGATGCCATGTTCCTCTTCATATAGTCCAGCTTTTCAGAATATTTGTTCAGCCTACAGATTGAAGAAGTATGATGAAAGGATACAACCGTGACACACTCCCTTCCTGATTTTAAACCATGCAGTGTCCCCTTGTTCTGTTCAAATGACAGCCTCCTGATCTAAGCACAGGTTCCTCTTGAGTATAATCAAGTGTTCTGGAATTCCCATTCTTTTCAATGTTATCCATAATTTGTTATGATCCACACAATCAAATGCTTTTGCATAGTCAATAAAACACAAGTAAACATCTTTCTGGTGTTCTTTGCCTTTAAATGAGATCCATCTGACATCAGCAATGATGGCTTTGTTCCATGTCCTCTTCTGAATCCAGCTTGCATTTCTGGAAGTTCCCTGTCAATGTACTTCTGCAACCATTTTTGAATTATCTTCAACAAAATTTTAGTTCTGTGTGATGGTAATGATATTGTTTGATAATTTTTGCATTCTCTTGGTTCACCTTTCTTTGGAATGGGTATGGATATGGATCTCTTCCAGTCATTTGGCCAGGTAGCTGTCTTCCAAATTACCTGGCATAGACAAATACGTGCCTCCAAGGTGGCATTGGTTCAAACATCTCAGTGGGTATTCCATCAGTTCCTGGAACCTTTTTTTTTTCTTTGTAGCCAATTCCTTCAGTACAGCTTTACCTTCTTCCATTGATTGATACCTTTGGTTCTTGATCATATGCCACCTCCTAAAATACTTGAACATTGACCAATTCTTTTCGGTACAGTGATTGTGTATTCTTTCATCATTACTTGATGCTTCCCATCATTTCAGTGTTTTGCTGATGGAATCTTTCAGTATTGCAACTTGAGGCTTGAATTTTTTCCTCAGTTGTTTTGCCTTGAGAAATGTGAAGTGTGTTCTTCCCTGTGCTTTTCTAA